GCCCCCACCGCCTCCTCCTCCACCCCCTCCCTGGTTGCCACCTCTGCGCTTCCCCTGCAGGAACAGTATAGTTTTCATTCTATGGGTGAATTTACTCACATAATACAAGTCAGAAAGAGTGCAAAAAAAGCACTCAACACATACCTGACGCCCATGTCGTCTGCCATGGTATTCTTCATGGGGTGGATCCCTTTTAGGGCCCTTCTTCTTACCCCCACGCTGAATGGTGGCAGCAGTTGTGATGGCATTTGTCTCTTTTGCCTCTTCTTCTATAGCTTGAGAAAAAGCTGCTTGAGCAGCGGCTGCTTGGGCAGCTGCAATGAATGAGTTTCTGCCTTTGGACTTCTCCTTGAACATGGGGTAGAAAAAGCTTTTCACCCACCCAAGCCACGTCCCACTCCCTCGTGACTTGTGGGAGTGAGAGTGGGGTGGGTGATGGTGGTGGTGGTGATGGTGGTGCTGTTGAGGCTGGTGATGGTGATGGTGGTGCTGTTGTTGTTGCTGCTGTTGCTGCTGCTGTTGTTGCTGCTGTTGTTGCTGTTGCTGCTGGTTTTGCTGCTGGTGGTGGTGTGAAGCAGACGAAGAAGACAATGATGATGAAGAGTGCGAATGGGACATCCCTTGCGAATGAGAGTGCCGCAAGTTACTGCCATGACCAAACACAAGTGGCCCCTGAGAGCCACTATGGAAAACTTGAGGATGACTGTGAGAGGATCCTTGAGATGATCCTGGATAAGGCCCTTGGGTGGGACCCTGTGTTGATACCAAAGTCTGGACTAGTGGAGCACCAACAGCAGATGCATTAAGAGTTTGTGCCATAGGCGTGCTCTCCACTTCTATGGGAGATGTCTCGTCAAGAACTGGATGTCGCTTTGCCACAACCTCTGCTTCGTCTTCATCATCCCCTGTAAACAAATCAAAGCATGTTTATAATAGTGCTTTATATGAGGAAATGTAACTGCATCAATGAGGTTTTAAGCTTCTCACAAGACTTTACCATTTGTTTCAAACATGCTGTCGTCAATGAGATTTAAATCTAGGAGTGGTTGAAGTGTGGCTGCACTAAAAAATGATGTTTGCATAATTCTATCAGTGTCTAGAAATGCAGCAACCATCACACAAACTAGGAGCATCATCATCATACTGTTAAAAATGAAGTTATAACATTGTTAGAGAGTGTTTAATAAAGAAAAACCAACTAGACATATGGCAACGGATTGGCTCAAGTATATTCTCCTACCAAGTAGATGAAAGCAATAAAAATGCCTCCCAGCGAGGCCTTGGCATTGCTGCATAGCAGGGTCGGAGATACTCTGGGGGTACAAACGACTCCAGAGTAAAATTAACAGGAAACCCCATGCTTGTATGAAATTCCAACAGTGACCTAATTCGTGAAAAGGTGAAGCCGGGAGTGTGTGCAATATCTATGCGTTTTCCCTCATTTGGTTGGAGACTGAACGGCTGACAATCTATAATATGGAACCCATTCCTGTTTTGGAAAAAAGTTAGTCAGGAGTGAAATAAATAATAATGACTACATATAACAATATCAGTTTTGCAGAACATGAACATACCCTTCACAGGGAGATCCATTGATTGACATAGATGATACTGTAATAGGCAGATTGCCACTGTTACGGGCAGTGAACAGTCTCTTAACAGTCAGAAATGGGACAGAATACAAATCCTCCAAAGACTCATCATTCTCTTCATCCAACAGATCTTCGTCTTCCTCATAATCATCATTATCTTCATTATTACTCATGTTTTTTTTATTACCTCGACTTGGAAGTGGTTGATTCCTTACATCTGAAAAATGAAGTCAGGCTTTAAAGTTAGCACTGATCACCATTGCCATCAATATCAGAATCAAGTATAAAACACTTACTATTACATTCCTGAAGAAGTTTTTCAGGAAGATCAAAAGTTAGGGGGATAGGTGAACCAGGGTGCTGATTCCCAAATCTAAACTGTGGTTTTGCAGCCTTACCCTTCAACATCAAAACTTCCATCACAGTCAGGCTATTTCTGTAAGTATGAGGGAAATGTCAAAAATCAAATAAGATCGATAAATTTATGTACTCACACAAACATCTAAGAAAGAAAATACAAACCGTATTATTAGCATAGAGCTGCTAGTTCCGGTCTCATCCGGGGTAAAAGTCACAAATACTCTTGTGGACTGTAGTGGACCTAAAAGAAGCAGAACTGTTCTTGGGTGAACCCCTGCCTCCTTGAGCAGAGTAGACTCCTCATTCGATTTCACATCTTGTGTTTTAATTCCAAAGCTTTTCTTTCCTTTGCCTTTACAATCTGCACAAGTTGGTAGGAACTTTGGGGGAAGAGCAGTGAATAAGTCATTTACTCCTGGATAGTCGTCTTCAAGGACAATATGAAGAAGAATTGCTGACGAAGCAGAGTTAATGATCTCCACAGTGGAATAGGACGTATTCCCTACTTGAGTCAAAGGAAATTTAACAATCTGATCGCTGATATTAGTCAAGTGAGGCCATATAAGGCGCACCTTCACCTCAAAAGGAAAGTTACGAACCTAAAAAAGAAACTTAGTTAGGATTTTGCTTGCATTAAAGTACAAAATGGATAATGAGAGCTGTAATTCAACCCACTCCTGATGTGTCCATTAAAAATGTGTAATTTTTCCATGGGTCTTTCCCACTGCTAGTAAGCTTCTGGAATCTATCCCAGTTGCGCTGAACAGCTTCTAAATCAATATCTTTTGTTTTGGGAGGGAGAGATAAGTGTTGCATACATGGAGTATCTGCAAAAGATGGTTGATGAAATAGAATTAAAAGTTTAAATAAAACCAGAAAGACATATCAACAACCAGCTCCAAATGACACTCACTGGCAGGGTCAGAGTAACCTTCTACATAGATCAAGTCTTCAGGAGCATCTTTCCCTCCCCACAGTAAATGTCCAATACTTGAAGTTGTGCTTGGATTTATAATAGACTTGGCAATGTTTTGTTTTAATTGTGGGAAATAAAAACGCAAGTCTGATGAGTGGGGAACAGACACAACAGATTCTACTAACATCAATGCTGGAAATGTTGACTGGACTTGCACTGTAGCAAAGCAATGCTTCCCCTGGAAATTGAAGTATAACAGTATTATTGTAAGGACATAAAATTTCGCTACTCTCTATTAGGTAAAAAGCTAGCACGTGGTACTTACAGGAAAGCAATCTGAAAGGAAGAGTGAATCTTTCACCATCTCAAGGGAACCATCAAGAACAGTCATTCTGAAAGGAATCTTTATGTCCTCGTACTCAGTAAAAACCATAATGTTTTCAAAAATATTTTCATTATGGTTTGGAGCCTCTACTCTGAGGCGAAACACAGCATAGCTGCCTGCTTCCACAATGCGTTGCTAAGGAGAAAAGGCATAAGCACATAAAAATTGGTCTCAGTCATTAAGTTCCCTCTCTATCAACAAAATATATATCTTCCTCTTGTACTCACAATATTGGATCTATCATAATCTGTAAAACTTGTACGAGCCAGGAGATTCGTTGTTGAAAACTTCTCTTTGTCAATACCAAGAAGCTCTAAGTCAGCCTTAGTATAAGTTATTTTCCACTCAGTAATTTTTATAGGGAGTGGGTTCAGATTGAGAAGGGCAAAAAAACCTTCCTTAAAACACCCATGGCCAACAAGGCCAAGATCTAAGTCCTCATCAGGTCTCAGTGACAACATTATCTGCAATAATAATGTTTTTCAATATTCAAAGAAACAATGCACAACTGCCTAACAGTGCAAGCATGTGCTTTCCAAAATTTTTGTAGTTATTTTTGAATTAGAGTAATACTTACAGGATGTAGCTTGCCATCATAGCTATTTAAAGTTATATTGGTAGCTGTTACATTAGTAAATATGACTAGAAATGCCATTCCTTTGATTGTGGAAGATTTCCCTAACTTCATCAAGGTAAGTTTTTCTCCTGGTGAAACCACGATTGACTCTAACTTCAAAGCCTAATTTTGTGAGGAAAAAAAAATTATGTAAGTTAAAATTATTTTCTTACTAGTTAACCAGCAGAATTGATAAAATGAAACTAACCTTGGTCTTTTGCTTTGCTGAAAGGGGTTGCAATTCAACTCTACTTATTGCAAGAGGGGTTTTAAAGTCATTCCTTACCCAAAAATCTATAAGCATAGCATTTCTTGCTTCATTCCCTGACCAGAATGTAGTAATAATTTTATCATATGCTAATGCACCCTCTTGAGGGAAAATTGTGTAAGGAATTGATAATATTTGTTGACCCCCTTTGGACCGAAGGATAATCCTTCCTGTTGAAAGACGGTCAGCACACGCTACACTCCCTGCGAGAGGATAAATTCCACGTTATTAGAATAGTACCTTCATATTAATTTTACACATTAGAATTACACAGTAGACAGTAGAGTGCAAAGAATAGGCTGCTTCGTAATGAAACTTACAATCGAGGGAGATTGAGGCTATGAATGTTGGGTGGGTGTTGTTGGGTAATACTTTCAGTGGCTCAAAAGTAAATTTAATAGCTTCTGTAGCTGGTTCCACCTCAATTTTCTAAATAAGCACAAGGATATAAGTAACGTCACAAAAATTAAGATAAGAATTCAAGAGTCTAGGTTTAAACATTAAAAGTGGAAAACTCACATTAACTTTGATGACACGGTGTGCGCTGTTAAATAACTCTAAAGTGAATTTTGATGGCTCCTGCAGTGAAGTGCCATATCCAAAGTCAAATTTATCTTGCGAAAAATAAAGACCGGGAGTAGGAGTGACAGATATGTCAACTGGAATAAATAATATATCCTCCTGGCTTGTTTTCACTCTGTAATTAAGATTAACAGTTTTTCAAGATGAACAGAATTTTATTGAGTTGTGAATGGATTTTATGTATTTTAAAAATCAAATAGTTTTATGCAACAAACCTTATGTAACCTGTATAGTTACTAACTGTGGAAGCTTTAAAATGAGCATTCATGATTGTCTTTGTTGTGTAAGGAGATACCTTCCATAATGTTTGAGGGCCTTGCCCTCTTCCCGAAGGTAAATCCAATCTTAGATCTTCCACATTCTTCACAATCTCTAAGATCTGAGTATACAATGATTAATTAGATGGGAAAATAGTTAAAGGGCATGTAACACGCACTGACAGAAAGAACCACACTTTACAACTTACTGTAATTGGAATTGGATGAGGATTGTGAATAGATATTGGCTGTTTGAGTACGCCATATAATGGTAATTGCTTCACCACTATGGGTTGTAGGCGGAATGGACTATCAACTCCTATTCCCTCAACCTACAAATAAGCACAACCCCCCCAAAAAAAATTAAAAGAAGATCTTGCAACGACAGAGTTTAAGAACCTGATACAAATAACCTTGACTATCCTTTTCAGAATCATTCAAAATTCTGGAAGCTTACCATAAATTTGTACGAGCCCTCTGAGGTGTGAATAAATAAAGGGCTGGCAAATGGCCCAAGTTCTCGGACAACAAAAACTATGTGAAATGATGTATTTTGTAAAGGTGGGAGCACCTGGAGGAAATACAAAGTGACTTAGATAATGTGCCAAATCTACACATTCTTCATTGCTCATGTGAGGTCAGTGATACCTTGTCTTCAAAAAATGAACTGTGCACATGCGCACTAGTCCCTGATATGGAGAGTAAATGTACTGATATATCCTTGTTAGGATTCTGTACAAGCACCTTTTCAGTGCGCGCTGTTCCAAAGGTGCTAGAAAGTAAGAAATAAATTGTTTATCTTCCTATCTTGCTCTCTACCACTTTCAAGAACATATTTTGAAAACAAAAAAAAAATCAATTCACATACCATTCATAAAAATTTAAAGAGGGAGGAGAAAACTTAAGTTTTTTAGATTCGTCATCTGCATCTATCTGATTTGAGTTTGGAGGGCCATCGTCGGGCTCAATCCTGTGGAAAATACAAGGAGAATTTCCAGACACGATACAAAACAAACAACCAAATGACACAGAGTACATCAGTGACATGTCGTCGGTGCTTCAAATCACACAGGCCGCACACCACTTTGGGGGAAGGGGAGGGGGGACATTTCTGCTGGATGGCTCCTGACCGACCTGACCTACGCCGTTCCTCGAAGTAGTCCCCCCCGCCCCCTTCAGTCTAGGTCTCTTAAGGGGACGACACGGGCAGCAGGGTCTTGATGGGCTCCAACAAGCACCTTCCGGTGCACAGGAGGTCCTCGCACACTGCCTCGCGCAGTGCCGAAGGGAAGGCGAAGCGAGGCGAAGCAAGGCGAAGGCACAGCCGGCCGGTGCGCGCTAATATTCGCGCCGACACAACAGAATGCGGGTTTGCCTACCCAGCCTACCCTAGAGGCCACGGCGCCTTACGGGTGGAGCCCTGTCGTGTTGTAGCCCTGACACACGGAACAGCGCGCGGGGGGCACGGGAGCGCGAGTGAACGCCGAGCTTTACACTCTACCTGTGGCTCCACGGCACCCGCTGCCGCAAGCCGACTACCAGATTGCTACCACCCGACAAAATTGAACGACCCCTTCTTCTCACTAACTGCACCGCGAGACTTCCCGTCGGCGGCAGGGGGCGTCCGTCGAATGACCGACCAGACACACAGAACCGTCACGCGCACCCTACTCTAGACCTATCGTCCCGCAACTAAACATTCTCATCGATTTTGAAAAAGACCCGCCGATATCAAAATACGACGCCGACATCAACAAGGTGGCGGTGGCCGCCCCTCAGCCGCTCTCTTTGTCTGCCCTGACCCCCC